ACGCAGTCCCATAGATACACACACACGCACACACACACATGTACACAACACGTGCAAGTACACGTGGCAGCTTACTACAAGAGAACCACACAAGTTCACATGTGGGCATGAACTGTATTCACAGTTGGTCATACTATCTTGGGCATATGAGGGAGGAGCAGGAGAGTGAGTGCGTGACTCAGACACAATGCGCTTCGACATGCTAGCACATGCACCGGTTTCGGACAGTGGCAGAACGTGACGGTGAGAGAGAGAGAGAGAGAGAGAGAGAGAGAGAGAGAGAGAGAGAGAGAGAGAGAGAGAGAGAGAGAGAGAGAGAGAGAGAGAGAGAGAGAGAGGAGAGAGAGAGAGAGAGAGAGAGAGAGAGAGAGAGAGAGAGAGAGAGAGAGAGAGCACCAGCGTTCCAGCTCAAGCTCCAAATTTCTAGTTGCTTCTCCTGGTCACAGTAAACACAGAACAGGGCTCAGGCAGTGCCGAGGAAGTGCTTGTACTTGGTGCAGTGTCGTGAGCAGGATAAACTTCCAACATCTCTACACAGTGTAGCTCTTCAGGCACACACGAAGACTCAGAAACCGGAATATACTTTACATGATGATTGAAAGTCCAGCAGCACAACAAAACTTCCAAGGACTGGTTTGGCACTAGCTTCCGTCTCATTGGCGTGTGCCCAGCCAGTTTTGGAAAGAAAGAGTAGACGTTCATTCCTCGTTCAACCTGCAATGAACTGAAGACAACACAAACCAACAAGACGACGATGGTTGTCATCAGCTCATGTGTTCACCATCGCAGTTCTACCATTCACTTTCCTGCTCCAAAAGCACTGCCAGGCTGCATGGTACTACTGTCGTGGACATGGAAATCCGGTCGCACGTATAGCGGCCCCAGGGCGCTGGCCATGCAGCCGTAGCACGGTTTATCATGCGCTGCTGATGGTCGCATTGGATCAACATGTGCACTGCATGCAACGTTCTGTACACGCTGAGGGCGCCGGCCCCGGTCAATCGACTGGATTTCCATGTCCGCGACAGTACGATGTGTCGATAATTGACCGTGATTTGCATTTTCCAATGATTAGGACTGGTATTATTTCTATTTTTCACACTTTAAAATAGAAAGAAAACAAGGGGCAAGATTTGATATGGATTATGTGATTGTTGGCTATGTCAACATTTGAAAGAGGGTTGCAACCGAGATAGCACTGCAACATGAGTTTAAACCTACGTATTGCATGGTATACTCAACAGTTGGCGAGCAGAGAATTTCGTGCCGAATTCCGCCCCAAGGTTGTGCACAGCAAACAACTTGATATTTCATTAGCCCTACCCTTGTGCTATACGTACCCGTTGTGCCGATCGAGCCTGAGCCCTCTACTCGACTCCACGGTCCAGTGACATTCGGTCATCATGGCCAAATTCAAGTCACTCAAGTGTTGAGAAGTGTCTACGTCGTCGCACATGGCATGTGTCGACATACAAATATATGTGTACGATAGAGAAAGAACTACTGAAGAGCAACCAACTGGTTTCAGCATTCTCCTTCAAAGGATAGGTCGGTGGCAGAGGACCAAAGCCGGACAATAGTTGGAAATTCTCAGCGTTGAATTTCTACAGGCTGTAGATACCTGGAAAAGCTCGATTTCCCGCCACGGAAAATAAAAAAAGTCTTGATTTGGGGTGCTGGCGCTTCGCCTGGTAGCTGTAATGCCATGGAGAACAGGGAAAATGACAAAAAAAGACTCGAATTTGAAATTTGTGTACAAAGCATAGGAAGCTCTCTATGCCGGGAACATGCCTGCAACTTCGCAGCTGCAAGGGCACGCTCTCACTGCGACAAGAGGTTATCGTCTATGTGACAGCATCATGCAGGAATGTAATGGTCATGCTCACACTACCTCCTAAACCGCCGACAGGTGTTGGGTTTTCAAAGTTCTTGACGTTCGGAAAGTTCTTTGCATTTCAAGTATCTGGCTGTGGCGAACTCCCGAATTTGGCGATTTTTCGTGATTCTATCGTACACAGTAGTGCAGTGCTGCAAAATTTGAAATTTGAAAGGGGTTCAAAAAGGGTACCTGAACTGGGGTACGAACAGCACAGCGCACTGTTGCAGGCAGGGTCAAACGGCCTGGATTTTGATGGGTTTTCCCAATTCAGTGCTTTCCGGACTAAACCTGGCCGAAATCCTATTCTTGTTAGGGCTTGCTTTTCGGAGAAATAGACTTCAGAAACATAATTGGAAGATGATTCCATAGGGAATTGCAGAAACAATTCTAAAAAAACTAGGGCTGAAAAAAAAGGGTACCATCTACCTGTTGGTATTATGAAGGCATAGTTTGTGGAAACAGAGTAATGTTTGCACAGAATTATGACACTATTTGCTAACGATTATAATCGATTACTCGATCGTTAAGCTAAAGAGTAATCGATACGTGAAAATCCACGATCGTTTCAGCCCTAAAAAAAACTCAAAGTTTGACCCATTTATGGCCAAAAGCTAGAAGTCCATCTTGTACCCTGCTTTGTTCGGAGAAAAAGTATGAAAAGGAAAAAAAGAAATGTCCTCCCCGGCCGGGAATCGAACCCGGGTCTTCCGCGTGACAGGCGGAGATACTTACCACTATACTACCGAGGATTGACTGAAGGGATTTGGGCAACTGCAGCAGAATAGCTTGGCACGGTTATGAGATATTCTTATCCCCATGCTCAGGAAAACGGCCCCGAAACACGTTTTAATGCCTAGTACGAGTCGTACAGTGCTGCACAGTGGAATCTGATCAAGACAGTCCTTGCCTAGCCGATTTTTTGTTTTTTTTGGAACCGGCCTCTTGTACGGGCAGAAGTAACACAACGATACGACAAAACATGAACCATACCAGAAAAGCAATGATGACGCGGCATAAACAATGCCTGGCCGGTCGCTGTGCGGCCCTTGTAGACCTGCAAACAGCGGGATTATGAACTGATGCAAGGCACAAGCTTACCTCGCGCAATCGGATTTCATTGAACAGGACTGTACATGTTCTTCAGTACCGTTACTCGTGTACTTTAATTTCAGAAATTTTCGCTGCTCAATATTTTCGGTATGAGGGCAACAGGCTAGGTTAGGTGAACAGAAATGTTCGGTGCAGAGAAGCAGTTCCCTATTGGATTATGTGTGTTAGTGTTTGTTCGGTGTATTGAAATTTTAGGTATGAAACAGACGCACAGAAAGTACCGAAAATAAAAGTACACCGAAAATTTGTGAAATTACAGTATGTGCGGTTTATCCACAGCCAGAGTGCCGATTGTCTTACTGACCCTGAGGATGCTACATAAAGAAAAAGTGAATTCACTTGAATCACCTTATTGTTGATGAATGGCTTGTTTCATTTCTTGAAAACGCAATTTTGGTTGAAGCCGCCTTGCAGACACTGACGTTGAGGGGAAATATTTGGGCCAGTTGCAGTTGGGCTTTATAATTATATATTTTCTCTTAAATTTCAATCATGCCATGCTGGTGAATAACTAGGTTGGTTGAAGACAGGAGTGCACGTAGTGATATCAGAAGATGAGATTGTAGTTGGTTGTTGCCATGGAAACTTGCAGCTGGCCGGCAATAGTGCCTGATGCTCTTGGTTATTTTGAAATGGGACTCACACTCCTGAGAGAGAAGTACTGTAACATTCTTGTGTTAGTCTAGTGGGAATTTTGGCCAAACATATTCCGTAACTACTGGCCCTAAAGAACAGCATGTAGTAAATAGCTTGTCTGGGCTTTAGAGAAGTTCATACTCTGGTTTACCTTCAACCACGAAAAAATCTTTCGCCTTTTACTAAAGATTTCCGTGGAGGTGGACATTGAAGGAGTCTTCAAATGAATTTTTCTTTAGCCCTTGCTCAATGAGCAGGGCTCAATAAATTACCAAAAGGAAAGAGTGCTGTGAAACGTCTATGCAAGAAGCTGTCCGGCGTCCCAGATTGTTCTTCAAAATGTAATGTTTTAGTTTTATTCTTCCCCGAGGGAACGAATATCAGTAGCGAATTGACCTCACTCTTTGGCACTCATTATCGCCACACAATTAAACCGTGTGCATTCAATTATTAATATTCTCCGAAGCGTAACTGCTGCTTCCGCAAGAGGCTATAAAGCCCACCCTACCCCAAAGAAAACTTGCTTTGAAAATCAATTACTAATCTTGGAAGGCTCCTAAGCAGGATTCACAGAAGAATTGTTGCAATGCGATGCGTGATGTGAGGGCCGAGAAACCGAGAAAGCCCCAAATCCCATTCATCGTGCACCTAATGCAACTGTCGTAGGACTCTCTCCACTGGTCCGTCGCAAAAGTTGTAACACTCGCGACGCGACGTACGATACGATGTATGATTTGGACATTATTGGCTGCAAAGTTGTATGGAAGGTTCAAGAGGTGCTTGTAGACTTGTAAAAGTTGTACCAAGCCAGCTGATTGCCATGGTGACGTACTCACCTTAATTGAACTTCCCGGCACATCAGCAAGGCAACGTTGCATCACTGACTTCTTCTGTGAATTCTATTTCGCGAGTCCGCATCGCATGCCGCTGTCGTAGATTGTGGCGCATCGGGCATCGTATAGCGGGAGAAAACTTCCGTGGATGCCGCTTTGGGCTATTGTTTTGCGTACTGAAGACCAGTGAAAAGATGAGATAGAGTAGTTAATGCCTGTAACTCGCACTGCTGGGTTCCGCTGAGTCTTGTAAATACTGTAAAGATCTTAGGGAAGTGGATTGAGTCGCGCAGGTACACGGCATGTCGTGCTGTGGGCGGTTGGTAACCATGGAGATCGATAGTGTAATGCGGTATGGCGAAGATAAATTGAGATGTCTGGATCTGGGCAAGGTATATACTGGTACTGCAACTATTCCTAGCTAGCTTTGGCCGGTGTGTGTTAAGCATAAAAGGAGAATGCGACTGCGAGAGTGGTGTCATAATGATTGCCACTGTAGTAGGTAGCAGTTCTTAGCTGTAGTAGGAAAGAAGTGGAAAGTCATACTTACCTGGCACAGGGGACGCCGTGATCAAGACGGCGGCTCCCTCAGGATGAGGCCCCTCCATTGCACTCCGTTGGGGCTGAGGCTTGCGATTTCCCCAAACGTGGGAAACTCGGGTGTACAATTTATGGTAGTGGGGGTTTGCGTTCGCGCAGTCCCTGCACAAAAATGAATAAAAATAAAAAGTATGTAGGAATTTAGTAGGAGTACATGTATGGTTGATTGGTTGGATCCCGATCCCGATCGATTGTCTGGATCGTTCCGATCCTAGAGTTGGCCGGATCCTACCTAATCCGTCGAATTCGGATCTGACCAATCAAAAGGGTGCAAAATGCAAATCCAGCTGATTCGGATCCTACCAAGCCTTGTACTCCTCCTTTTCTCTCCGAAACTTGCAGGCCAGATACAAAAGAAAGAAAAAAATGACCAGTCACACCAACGGGACATTTGAAATTGAAAAGAAAAAAGTGACATAGTTTTTTTCCCTTGACACGGATGGGTAATTGCAACTTTTTTTGGATGGGTGGGGGAAGAGAGAAGTCGCTGTGTACTGACTGGATGTGCCCAGAGTATCGACTTTTTCTTGTTATCGTGTTGTGAGCCACTATTTTCTCACGATTCAGACCAAACACTGATGAGAAAAACGATCCAAGTTACGGAAACCATCACACGTCTTGTTGGCCGAATGACAACCTCTTGGAGCCTACAGTGCATTTCAAAACTATAGACGCGTAGGGTTTTTGAAATATTTCAAATTTGGCTGGAACTTTTTGAGAATAGTTTTCGGAATATTGCTCAGGATCGCTCCACAATTACTCTCATATAGTTTCTAAAGGATTGGATAACAGACGCCCAATTTGGAAAAATTTATGCACAAAGTGATCACAGATTTTATGTGGTATAGATGCTGGCATAACGGTTTTTGCCTAGGTACGCGTCTATAGTTTTGAAATGGACTGTAGCTATATTCAGGTACATGTACTGACGGACATGCAAGCCTTGTTCTAGAAGGTGATCATGAGAGGTCGAATCGGCGAGTTTATCTGTGATAATTGTCACACATTGTGGCTGCACGGTGGTGTTCTAGAAGGTGATCATGAGAGGTCGAATCGGCGAGTTTATCTGTGATAATTGTCACACATTGTGGCTGCACGGTGGTAACAGACAGTTGCCATGGCAATATTCCACGCGGGAATTACCCCCGATATGGTGCAACCCAACAGTGCCTTGAAGTAGTATGCTCTAATGGTATTGCTGGGCATATCTAGGTTGACGAGCGCATCATAGAGGTTATTTTGGAGACTTTTGCAATGACTTGCACTGTGTTCTGTTGAGGTATATCTGTTTGGAGATGAAGGTTTGGTAATCAGCTTTGCGCAGTGGTAGTACCATAGCCAATGAGGTCCAACCGAGGCGTGGTTATTGCTAGTTGAAAACTTTTCCCAATATCCCGCATTGACGACTTGAAACATAGTCGGCTTTGCAATTTTTGAAGGCTCATCCGTGAGCCAACTTTTAATTGAAATCAATGAAAGAGCTCGATTCCAAATTCAGGTGTGGGAACCGTATAATTGAACACACATACTGTATGTATGCATGACATATGCTGTGAATCGGTAACCAATGATTTTCTTCCACATGGCGAGGGATCAGGATAAGCGAGATCTGACTGTGTCTAGATCACACATAGCACGGAAATTAGGGAGGTTTCGCTCTACGGAATTACGTATGAAAATAACGTAGGAACTGCACGGAATTTTCATACGTCAAAATCAGAGCTGTTGGGTTTCGCTCTACGTGATTTCTCCACGACTGCTAAACATGCGTTGTTGCTTTGGAGACGCGTTGGCTGCATGCGCCCACCGCATGCACCATGAACCGAAACCGCGTTTTCCATCTTATTTTGCACGTGGTGTACGGTGTGTGTACCTTGTGTTTCGCGCGGCTTGAACGTTGCCATGGACAAATGCGGAAAATGCGAAAAATATTTCAAAAAGTCCTACGGAGGACCCAACTTAGGAAAGAGCTTTCCTACGGAAATCCGTAGAGAGATTTACGTATGAAAGTTGCCCTCGATCCCCGGCGCGTACAACATACGGATTTTCATACGTAATTACGTAGAGCGAAACCTCCCTATTGTCGCTGTGTACAGCTGTTATACTATTAAAAGCATGCCTACTGAAAGAAGTCAGTGTCATACCGTAAAGTTTCGTGTGCCCAGGGTGATGCTGTACCTGTGTATGCATATGTGCGCATAATGTTTGCATGCTTGTGAAACGCAAGCGATGCAATATGCACCTTGTATAGGCCCAGTCCTGAAATAACGCCCGTGCCCAAGTATACGCCAAGTTTTCAGACCCTTGTTCTGTTGTATACACCCGGGGATTATTTACGGAACTTTACGGTATGCTGTCAAATGCGAGGAAACCACCGGGATAACCTTACTCTATCCAGTTTCGGCCTCCCAGACTCTTTCGTCATATCATGCCAGACTCTTCTCCCGTTTTATACCCTGTTTTGATTTGAAAAAGAAAGAAGTGAAAAGCAAAAAAAGAAATGTCCTCCCCGGCCGGGAATCGAACCCGGGTCTTCCGCGTGACAGGCGGAGATACTTACCACTATACTACCGAGGATTGACTGTCAGAATCTGTGCAGCTCCCGTAGAATATCCTCCCTTTCATGCACTAGCTTCTTCTACAAATTAGTAGCACAAAAAGCCTGGACACACGTTGACCAAGTACAGTTGCGCTCTGTGAAATCCGGCCCAAAGCCAGAAAACTGGTGTCCTGAAAGAGTTCCGATTACATCACTGTATTTGTACATGTGTATGTCCAGCTGCATTCGTACCACTTCCTGCGCATCAATGGCCGTTAAGTTGAGGGTGCCAAAATATGAGCCGTCAGATGCGAATCTGACCTCACGGGAAACACTGCACAGTGCAGAAAAATGCACTTGAAAGTTGGCGCGTTTACGCACTGGTGCACCTGGACAACCAAGCTACAAACCTTCGTATTTCAGTCAAATATCGGTCTTTCGGGACAATCCAAGTATGTAAATCGAAGAGAAAACTCCAAGGAATCCAATGCAGCAAGCGCGATCGCGGCACGATGGCTGCGTTCCCTAGCTACGAAGCCTGCAAGATACGGCACGGCACTTTGCATTTCTACGTGCAAATCAAACGATCCAGGCCAGGAATTTCCCCTTTTCAAGCAACCCACGATCTCGGCAACAGGCTCAGACGTCTTGGAAGGTCTCAGTGCATCTTCACGAAAAAAAATTGGGCGCCTGGAATAATGGAGATGGAAATGGCTAACGATTTTCGTGTGACGGCGCAAGTCCAGCGCTGAAGCGATGTCTGCGGCTTGTTGTGCTGGTGCTGTGCTTTATTTGCTATCGGATTTGGGCCCAACGGGTTCCTCGTCGCCAGAGCTTTCCAGAAAGCCCAAGTTTGTGGAAATCGGTCAAAGGAAACAGGAAGTATTCTCCCTCCTGGCTTTTAGATAGTACCACTAACACAAAATTTGATATGAATTTTTTCCCATAAGGTCGGTTTTCGCATCTGACGGCTCGTATGCACTCTGGGACGTATTTAACCGTGGGCAACTGTACATGTGCAGTTTATCCACAGCGGGACTGTAGCCTGCTGTAGAGTGTTTTTGTATTGACACTGAGCATGCTACAGAAAGAAAGGGTAACTACACTTCAATAATTTTATCGTTGAAGAAGGGCTTGTTTTGTTTCCTGCAAAGTCTTACATGGATGGGACATCTCGTATTAGTACCAGTTGCCTTTTATCTGGGCTCTAGATTCTTGTCTTCAGTGATATCTGAGTCATGCCATCCTGATCAATAACTACGCTGGCCAATGTCAGGATTGCAGGTGTGGATATCCAGACTAGAGATTGTGATGGTATGTTGCCATGGAAACTTGGTGGTGGCCGGCAAGGATGTTGCCACAGTTACGCTTGATGCTCTTGCTTATTTGAAAAAGCTGACTCACACTCCTGACAGAGATGTTTGATTACATTCTTTAGTCTAGTAGGATATCTGGGGCCAAACCTATTCCGTAACTACTGACCCTAAACAACATCATGTAATAAATAGCTTGTCTGGGATCTTGAGGAATTCATACTCTGGTTTACCTTCAACCACGAATAAATCTTTCGCCTTTTACTAAAGATTTCCGTGGAGGTGGACATTGAAGGAGTCTTCAAATGAATTTTTCTTTAGCCCTTGCTCAATGAGCAGGGCTCAATAAATTATCAAATGGAAAGAGAAAGACTGTTTTGTTGCTACAGTCAAATCTGCCGTTAGCGACCTCTGCTGTAGGCGACCATCTACCGTTAGCGACCGATTTTCCGTGCACCAACGGTTTCACATACAAACTGATCTGTCCAGAGCGACCATCTGCTGTGCGCAACCAGCGACCACGATATCAAGCACAGTGGCTGCATTCAAATCTGCTGTAAGCGACCGCGACCCAGGTTCAGCCAGGTGCGAAACTGTACTTGCCAGTGCGCTGTCAACTGCAAGGTGTGAAAAATGCGCTATCTTGTAAGTGCGATCGACTGGCCCTGGCCTGTATATGTACATGTACTGAGGCTGCGCTGTAGTAATGATATTAAAAAAATCACATTCTCGTCGATTTGAGTACATGGAAGCATAATTATATGCATGCCCGGTATGCCGGATTTACCATACATCTGCCGTAAGAGACCATCTGCCGTAAGAGCCCGCTTTTTCTTGCACCAAGGGGCGGTCGCTTACGACAGATTTGACTGCAGTAAGTTTATGCCATTCCAATTCTGTATAAGGGCCTATCGGGGTTGCCTTTGTTTCAAAAACGAACGTGCTCCGACATGAATTCGGCCAACTGTGTCACACTAGCGATTTCGCCAAGAATAACTACTGTATTTGCTGGAGTATAGTGCGCACTTTAGATGTACTATTTCAGGCCCCAAATCGCAGGTGTGCACTATGCTCCGACTATGAAAGTGCATATGAAAGTGCATGTGAATGCACTTTGAAAATTAGTGCAATGCATCAAAGAATTGCGAAGTTTGCCGCCTCTGAACCGAAGCAAACCATAATCACTGTGTGCATTTCTAGTGTCTACAGCCAGCTACACTGCTAACACATGATTGGTTAGAACCCCATCGGTAG